ATGACTTGAAGTACTTAGTGATGAAGACTAAAGACTACAGTCTGCAGTATGAATTACACCTCAACATAAAGAAAATGAAAATCCTCACAAGTGGACTGATAAGCAGCATCACAATAAGTAGAGAAAAGATTGAAATTGTCAAAGACAACTTGGTTCCATGATCAACACCAATGGAAGCAGTAGTCAAGACATCAAATGACATATTGCACTGGGCACATCTGCTGCAAGAAACCTCTTTGAAGTGTGAAGAGCAAAGATGTCTCTTTGAAGACAAAGGTGCGCCTGACCCAAGCCATGGTATTTTCAATCATCTCATATGTATGTGGGAGCTAGAAAATGAATAAAGAAGACCAAAGAAGAAGAGTTGATGCTTTTGAGTTGTGGTGTTGGTGAAGAATACTGAAAATACCATGGACTGCCAGAGGAACTAACTGATCTGTCCTGGAAGAAGTGCAGCCAGAATGTTCCTTAGAAGCAAGAATGGCCAGATTTCGTCTCACCTATTTTGGCCATGTTGTCAGAAGGGACCATTCCCTGGAGAAGGATATCATGCTTGGAGGGTCAATGAGAAAGGACAAGGCCCTCAATGAGATGGACTGACACAGTGGCTGCAATGATGGGCTCAGGTATAGCAAGGATTGTGAGGCTGGCACAGGACCGGGCAGTGTTTCATTCTGTTGTACATAGGGTTGTTATGAGTCAGAGCTGACTTGACAGCACCTAACAACAACAATCACAAAGACAGAGATTACTTTTATCTCTCATGGTCCAAGCATGGGGCTTTGCACAAAATAGGTGCTAAATCCAATTCCTTGGATTGGAGTGAGGAACATTACCTGGAAGAGAGCAGTTCTCACCCTTGTTGCTGATCTCTCTCTGGAAATGACTGTGTTTTGGTTTTGTTTCCTACTTTCTATGCACATTTCTACTGTATTTTTCCCCAAAACATACCTCTTCAACCAGGCTGAGCAAATCTGTTTTCATAACATTGTTCACATTTTGAAGTTCTCTATCCACAGCAGGGAGCTGCAAATTTATAAAATAAAATATAAGGCAAGGGAGCATCCCCAAAATCATTCCTCATAAATTCTTCACATATTCAAGTCTTGTCGCTCAATTTTATTTTGAGCACTATCATTTGGGGTAAACTAACCAACCAACCCACTGCCATCGAGTTGACTCCAACCCACAGCAACCCTATAGGACAGAGCACAACTGTCCCATAGGGTTTCCAAGGCTGTAAATCTTGACAGATGCAGACTGCCACATCTTTGTCCTGTGGGAGAGGCTGGTGGATTCAAACTGCTGACCTTTTGGTTAGCAGCCCAAGGCTTTAGCCACAGCATCACCGGAGCTCAAAATGACCCCCACAAGTGCTAGTTCTTAGATGTCTGGGAGTCGGCTGATGGAATCAGCTAAAACTGAGGTAAAGAAATTTAACGGGAATGTATTAATGTGTGATCTCAGAATTTCAAGGACTGAATATAGATACTAACTTGCCCTTCCAAAAGCACTTTGCAAAGAAATAGTCATCAGTTATGTGGGTGAGTGGTTAGGAATAAAGTCTCCATCTACATCATTATACATGGATTTCAAGAACTTTGCCTGTTACAGAGATCTGGTGGTGCAGCAGATAAGGCATCTGGCTGCTAACCAGAAGGTCAGCAGTTCAAACCCACCAGCCACTGTGCAGAAGGAAGATGGGGCGATCTACTTCTGTAAAGATTTACAGCCTCAGAAACCCAATGGGGATCACTGTGAGTTGGAGTCGACTCAATGGCGGTGAGTTTGGTTGGTTTTTTGGTTTTTTTTTTTCTGGTTTATCTCTTACCAATATTGAGACAAATATCCCATGTCTCCTGACATCATGTATCAGGCAGGACATGCTATCATGACTATTATGTCTCTGACAAACATGCATAACTGAACTCTAATCATGATGGGTGTCTATTAAAATAAATGGCCTGGAAACCCCGTCCCACTGCCATCAAGTGGATTCTGACTCAGAGCTGCCCCAGAGGACAGAGTAGAACTGCCCCATAAGGTTTCCATGGTTGCAGATCTTCTTCAGAAATGTCAGTGTCACCAAGGAAAAAGACTGACACAATGATCCAGAATTACAGAGGCTAACGAGACATGACAACCAAAGGCAACGGAGACCCTGCGTTGACCTTGACTGGGGAAAGAAAAACAGCTGTAAAAACATTCTTAGAAAACTGGCAAAATCTGAATAGGAGCTGGGACTGAGTGGTTGAACTGGGTCCATGTTGCACATCCTGACGGACGACCATGTGTTGGCTGTGGAAGGTCAGGGACCGCACTGAAATATTTGGAAGGGAGGATGTAAAGAGACATGACATCTGCCACTTACTCCTAAATGGTTAAGAAAAGGGCAAAATGGAGTTTATTTCATGCATATATACCTAAAATAATGTGGATAGATATATGATGATGCATGATGGATGGGAGGATGGACAGATAAAATGATAAGCCAATGCGTAAAATGCTGACAATTGGGGAATCTGGGTGGGGAATGGGCTTCTTGTACTAACCTGGCAACTTTTCTGTGTGTCTGAAAGTAAATCAAAATAAACGTTACCCCCAAAGGACTCCATCTTAAATAACTTAAACACAGGTTTCAGTCCCATGTTCTAAAATGCAGTCCAGTGTCTCCCCAGGGTGGGTCTGGAAGACACGCAGTCACAGGCAGTGAATGTGAAGTGCTTGAATAAAACCATCACATGAAACGTGAAAGTGAAAAAACAATGTCTATCTATATTGCCATTTTTTATAAAATGTGATAATGTATGTATACAATGAAATTAGTAAGTTAAACACCATGAATAGATGTGAAAATTTTATCTATATGCTCAAAAAAAAAAAAAAAAAAAAAAAAAAAAAAAAAAAAAAAAAAAAAAAACCAAAACAAACTCACTGCCATTGAGTCAATTCCAACTCATGGTGACCCCCATTGGGTTTCCAAGGCAATAAATCTTTACGGAAATAGATCGCCCAGCCTTGCTTCCATGGAATGGCTGGTGGGTTTGAACCACCAACCTTCTAGTTAGCAGTCAGATGTCTTAGGCACCAGAGGTGAGATGTTGGCAAACCAGATGATGGATCCAGAGCTCGAGACCAGAATATATATACTCAGACCTGTATGTGTGCAAGTAGCCCCCAATTTTTTCTGTTAATCTTTTCTTTGTGGAATGGAATTGCCTTGAATTGGGGCTTTGTGGTTGCTGCCAGCAAGGTGGCTCCGACCCATGGTGACCTTACATACAACAGAACGAAATCCTGCCGGGCCCTCCACTCTCTCCATGATATTTGGGATCTTTGAGCACATTAGGGTTAATATTCTAATGCATTATGTACCTACATCTTGACCTTTAAAGGTATACAAAAATGCACTCTGCTTGCTTCTAGCTCCTTAAAGCTCACTTCCTTCTGATGTTTTTCATCAAACTGCAGAGAACTCCCTGGAAGACACTCACATTCCTTCCCATCTCCTCCGATAGCCAATCCATGGCTGTGACTGAATGACCTGGAAGGCTGACAGGGACCCCAGGTCACTGCTCTCCACCCCAAGCCACTGTGCTCCCCACAGGATCACCCACACTCCGCCCTACCAAGCTGTCCTGATGATGCATGGCTTAGCAGGGGCCACATCCCCTCACCTGATTAAAGCTCATGTTGCTATCCAGCTGGCTGAGAGACTTCAGGATGCTGTTGCAGCTGGCAGTCATCCACTTTTCAGTGCACGTGGAGCTATTGAGGGACTTCTCCAAGTTGGTCTTGATGGTGCTCAGGTTGGCGTTCAACACTACAATCCCATTCTTCATTTCCTCCAAGGCACTGTTCATATTCTCCAGCGCCAACTTGCTCTCGCTGATGTCTGTAGGAATAAAACATGCTCAGAACTGAGGCACTCACTGGGCTGGCCATGGCAGAAAATCCCTTCTCAGGTACAAAAGTGGTCCAAAGGAGCATGAGATGAACTTGTGTGTGACCTTGGGAGGTACCGGGGAAGTCTGCTATGAGAGGCAATTTGCAGAGCAGTTTGGGAGGGACACAAACAGCCTTGTAATCCTGGCAGCTACTCCCACCAACTCAGCATCCCACCAGGGTCACTTGCAAGCAAGGAGCAGGCCGTGAGCGCCAACCTCAGGAATGCAATACCTCGGAGTGGCCTTAACTGGCCAGCCAAGGGACAGCAATAGCCAGAAAAGGTGCCATGGCTGTAGCATCCACCAACCTTAAAGAGGTCATTCCAGGCAAGCTAGCAACTTCAAGCCCAAGCAGTTTCAATCTGCAAATACATTCCTTACACCCAGAGATGGATTGTTGTTGTTGTTGTTATGTGCCGTCAAGTCAGACCCGACTCTCATAGCAACCCTTCCTTGGGTTTCCAAGGCAGTATCACTAGGGAAGTAGATTGCCCAACCTTCCTTCCAAGGAGTGGCTGGTGGGTTTGAACCACCAGCCTCCTGGTTAGCAGTCAAGTGCCTTAGGCACTGTGCTACCAGAGATGGATTAGCTAAGAATTTTCAGAGAGCTGGAATTCATTACAGGGAAACAGTCAAGGGCACATTTGCCATTCCAGCACGTTTCTGTGCAGATCTCAATTCTGTTACCTACTGTGTAACTGGAAGTAGAGTCTGGCACCTCTCTGCACCAACTTACTGCTGTTAAAATGATAGCACTACCACCACACTCATCACATCATGTGGGGATTAAATCAACCAGATGGAAGGCCTTGGTGGTAGTGAGTCCAACTACTTTAAGTCAGCAGCCACCAGCCTCACACACGTTCTGGAACTAGGAGCTAACAGCAGTCGTTGCTCTCCTGATTTCTCCGGGAGCAGAACTGTACATTCTGTCTAGGAAGGTTGTTGTTAGGTGCCATCGAGTCATTTCCGACTCATAGCTACCCCATGCACAGCAGAACGAAACACTGCCTGATCCCGCGCCAGCTCCATGATCCCTGCTATACTTGAGCCCATCGTCGCAGCCACTATGTCAATCCATCTCATTGAAGGCCTTTCCCTCTTTCATCGACCCTCCACCCTACCACGCATGACATCCTTCTCCAGGGAATGGTCCCTTCTGACAACATGACCAAAGTAGGTGAGACAAAGTCTGGCCATTCTGGCTTCCAAGGAGCATTTCCGCTGCACTTCCTCCAGGACAGATGTGTTACTTCTTTTAGCAGTCCATGGTACTTTCAGCATTCTTCGCCAGCACAACTCAAAAGCATCAACTCTTCTTCAGTCTTCCTTATTCACTGTCCAGCTCTCACCTGCATATGAGGTGATTGAAAATATCATGGCTTATGTCTGGTACACCTTAGGAAGGTAGCGAACAACAATTCTGTCCACCAGCAGCTTAAAGCCACGGCAGTAAGACACGAGGAGTTTAAAGTAGGGGCATTTCCTCCTCCTCCAAGCACTTAACACTTCCTGCTCAGGTCTTCTCTGCTCCGCACTTCACAGAGCGATGGTAATCCACCATGCACAATGGCTTCTGCAAGTATGAATGTGTATGTGCTCCAATAATTTCTTTTAGAAGAATCACCAAGAGGCTGGTCCCCAGGAGGCAGAGGTTAAAGGTGTCTCAAATGTCCAGCTTTTCCAAACTGCTGCCCACTCCATCATCTCTAACATCAACTCCTCCTCCTCCTCCCCTCAGTACTCTCCCTCCAGTCTTGTCATTGTTGTTATGTGCTGTCAAGTCAGACCCGACTCATAGCGACCCCTCCTTGGGTTTCCGAGGCAGTATTACTACGGAAGTAGATTGCTCAACCTTCTTTCCAAGAAGTGGTTGGTGGGTTTGAACGGCCAGCCTTATGGTTAGCAGTTAAGTGCCTTAGGCACTATGCTACCAGAACTCCTCCCTCCTGTCTTAGGGTTCTGTATTGTGCTGTAACGTCTCACAGAACTCAGAAACTGCCAAGGAAATGGCTCATGTGTGGTGGAGGCTGGCAAATCCCAAATCTGTTGCTCAAGCCTCACCCTGGAGGATGCTTCCTTGCTCACATGCTCACAGGAGCTGATGAACCCCAACAGGCAGGTCAGATCACTGGCTGCTGTCTCAAGTCCCAAGAACCAGGGGTGAGATGTTGACAAACTAGATGATGGATCCAGAGCAAGAGAGTGAACTTCGCCAGAACATTCACATCATGCCCTCCAGGGAACTGAGGGGGAGACTTCAGTCGCACAGCAAGGGGGGCCTCAAGATACAGCCCACCCTAATCCTGCCTCACCGACACCAACAGACAACTCACCCCAAAATGGGACTGTAACTACAGGCACAGAGGCTAGCCTTTACAATATATCACAAAATTGAGGACTATGACTGTTGTTGTTGTTGTTGTTATGTGCCATCGAGTCAGCCCCGACTCATAGTGACCACTCCTTGGGTTTCCGAGGCAGTATCACTACGGAAGTAGGATTGCCCAACCTTCCTTCCAAGGAGTGGCTGGTGGGTTTGAACCTCCAGCTGTCTGGTTAGCAGGCAAGTGTCTTAGCCACTATGCTACCAGAGCTACCAGGACCATATTAAGCAATGCACTGCCCTGCTGTATGAATGTCCTTGAAGACTCCCTTCCCTGGGTTTCCACCCATCTCTGGAAACCACAGAAAACTTGGGCTAAAACAATTTATGTATATATATGTAAACATATATATATATATATATATATACATATATGTGTATGTGTATGTGTATGTGTATAGGGAGCTCTGGTGGCATAGTGCTTACGGCATTTGACTGCTAACCAGAAGGCTGGTGGTTAAGGCTGGTGGTTTAAACCCACCAGCCACTCCTAGGAAGGAAGGATGGGCAATCTACTTCCATAGTGATACTGCTTCGGAAACCCAAGGAGGGGTCACTATGAGTCGGATCCGACTTGACGGCAGTAAGTTATGTACGTTCTTGTTTTTGTTAGTTACTGTCCAGTGAGCTCCAACTCAGTGACCTTATGGATAACTGAACAAAATGGTGCCTGGTCTTGCACCATCTTCATAATTGTTAGTATGTTTCAGTTCATTGTTGTACCCGTATATGTCTACACTTAACTGACACGTGTGTGTGTATGTGCACATATATAAGGTTTCCTAAGGTTGGGCAATCTACTTCCGTAGTGACACCACCTCAGAAACCCAAGGACGGGTTGCTATGAGTTGGATCCGACTCCATGGCAGTGGGTTTGGTGTTTGGTTTTTAGGTAGAGCAAATGGTTTGCACACGACTACTAACCTGAAGGTTGGCAGTCCGAACCTACCTACTGGCAGTGCAGAATAAAGCTCTGGTGGTCTGCTTCTTTAAAGACCAATCAAGCAAACCCTACGGAGTTCCATTCTACACTGTAACATACAAGGTCACCTCATGTGACAGCAACAGGTTTTATATAGACACATGTACACAGCCATATGTGTGTGTGTGTGTGTGTGTGTGTGTTGTGTATAAAAGCTTCCCTGTTATGTAATCATGAGAAAAGTAGCCTGAGCTCTCGTCCCAGGTCTTCCAGAACCTTGCTCTGGCACCTTCAGCAAACATTTCATCCTCTCGGGATCTCAGTCGCCTCAGCTGTGACTTAGGGAGCTGGCTGGTCGTCTCCCGGTTACTCAGAGGGCCTTAACTGGTTTGTGGGGCTGCTATCTGCTGTTCAGTCAGCCTTGGGCTTCTGGCGACACCATATGTAATGGGGCAAGCCCTCTGTGAATCATAGGTTTGTCACTGGCTGATTTCTCAGGAGTAGACTGCCAGGCCTGTCTTCCTAGGAGACGGTATCACACATGTTTTATCCAGGTGTGATGCGGTAACAGCAGTCCATGTCATCCAAGATAACACTGTCACCAGCCTTAGATGATTCACTGAGGGACCAGGGAAGGCCTCTAGGATTGGACTGCATCCAATGACCCCGGCCCCAAATTCTTGAAACAAAACAGAACAAAAAACAGTGAACGCTGATTCCAACCTCACGTGTTTCCGAGTAAAACACAGCTCCGTGGGGTTTCCAAGGCCATGATCTTTTGGAAGCACATCACCAGGCCTCTCTCTCGAGGGGGCTGTGGGTAGACTTGAACCGCCAACCTTTCGGTTAGTAGCTGAGGGCTAATTATTTGCAATACCCAGGGTCGCCCTGAACAGAACATCTTATGATCTGTTTTTTTTTTTTTAACCTTGAATTTTGGTTCAGTTACATCTTAAAAATATTTAGGACTATAATGGGCGCTCCTTATCCAAATGTCCTTCTGGGTCTCAGTTTCTCATCTCTCCCACCTCCCTCCCGAGATTATCAGCAAAGGACAAAGCCCGGTACCTGACTCCTACCAGGGCTCAGTAAACATCTACCACAGCACAGAAGAAACGAAGACCACAGCTGGAACGAGAAACCCGCCCGCCAGAAGACCCTGCTCAACACATCCCTACAGCACACATCTGAAGGCTGTGTGCTCTACCTCTAGTAGCCACTTCCACTTTGACTCCACGAAAGTTATTTTAAAGTCAGGAGTAAACAACGACAACAAAGAATGATGGATAACATAATAAACTGATGACCCAGGAAATGCATGTGCATTTAGGACTGTGGGTAATGTTCTCAGCCATGTCCCAGAAAGGCCTTGGAGGTCATGAAGATACATTTTTCAAAGGCTTCAAAGCATTTGATGCCTATAAAATATTTATTGGGTCATAACTCTGGAGTCATCCGTGCTTACCAAGAGCACATGCATTATGGATCTGAAGTAGGAACGATATTTATTCCTCAGATTCTCAATTTAATTAATTAACATTTCACCAGCCTGCAGCATAGTGCCCTTGTAGGTCCTAACCTGTAGCCCAGATATGATTTACACAAAAGAAAGATCCATTCTCTCCAAAGGCCACTGAAAA